TTTATTAATTATTTGATTTAACCATGATACGAGGTAAAACAATGTTTAAAACAGTAAAAAACAATGGGAATCGATACTACAGAATTATATCGAAAGTTGCGAATGAGGTTAGGATTGAAACTATATCCTATACATCGGTTTCACAGACTTGTACTCCTTCAAGTTACTTTAAGAATGAAATGAAGTCTATTCAAATAAGATAAATTTGAATGAAAGAGATATTAATATAACTGTAGATTTGGATATATTCAAATCCGCTGTTCGATGAGTTTACAAGTTGCAGCAAGAAAGAAAATAAACATCGTGGAAGATGTTCAGAACAATTTTTTACATCAAACAGTAAGTGCAGTAATATAAAATACTATTTATAACCGACTTTCATGAAAGAAGTATGAGTATTCTAAGATACCGCTTTCTAACAGTGTAATTATAGAGGATCATCTGACAGATGTCGTCAATCAGCTATTAAAATATTATGGCCAGGCCGTAAGAAGCAGTGAACATAATCTAGATAATATATAGGACAACATTTTTCCATGAAATTTCAAGACGGTCACAACTTTTGTTCAAACGATTGATTTAAATATAAAACTGCTGAAGCAGCTGAAACTCTGTATTGGTTAACTTGTAAAAACTATGCGTTAATCTGTAATATCAGTTATGAAGATAATTACCAGAAACTACTATCGAGGAATTATATAGAAAACATTAAATGTAAATAAATCATTCTATTGTATTCTATTGATAAGAATATCAAAAAATGTATTTGTCTGTATCTCATATCACATCTTGGTATATATGATACTGTCATCATATTTAATGATGGTAATGCTGGCAAATTGAAAGTGGCTCAGAATAGCTGGGAATGGAATACGACAGTCGTAGCTGAGGATATGAAGTGATTTTCAAGACAAAGTTACAAGCTTGAAAAATTTCTAAGAGAATGTTATCTTTGATAAGCTTGGACGGTTTGGAAGGACATAAATTTTACAATAGCGGAGGATTTTAGTTGCTTTTTCTACTGAAAAGTAAGTATTTACTAAAGTAATTTTTTTTATACTAATTTCTGAAAAGCTTCCTTCTTTTTTAGACTAATAATTCGTTTTCTCTCGAATTATTTAAGATTTGCTCTTGATTTTTCTACAGTTCATTTATAATATTCTTTTGATACCGAATATTTAAATTTATAATAATTTTCAAAAGAATAAAAAGAAGATAATTATAAGTTAGAATAATTATATAGAACAAAAATTTCATTTTGATCCCGAACATATGTAGTCCAGTGAAACTAGAGAAGTAAGTTCTCGAAGCATATAAATGACTTAGTAAAGTTTCATTACTTATTGAGCAGATGGATCATGAAGTTGGTAAATGTAACATTAGTGGGATTGATTATTCATATTGTTCTTAACACTTGCTGTTTCTTGTTATTGTTTTTTGCACGTTTGCATCTCGGAAAAATATATGCAGGATTTAATTATCGTAGGCTGTAATTGTCAAACTTTATTAGTATATTTTATTAGTCGAAATAAGAAAAAGAAAATGTTATATAAAATGTTATCTAAACGTTATATTTCTTAATTGAATTGTGTGACGATAAATCAAGAATGGAGAGAAAACTATCGTAAAATTCGGCGTAAGATTAAAAAAAAAAAGATAATGAATGCATAACCTTAGCGGTTGTTTTTTTTTTTATCGAACAATGTCTCAAAACGGTAGGCTGAAAATAAGATACCTATTTATTATAGATATAGATATGTATTTGATATTCGCTACATACTTATTGTGAATAAATTTCGACGAACCAATGTCACAATCGACTCTCATTACCCTCATAACGCATTGTGTCAATTGATTTTTTCGAATAATTTCAAGACAAGCCAAAAAGGTGAAAAATTCTTCTCACGAAAAATTGCTTCTTTGATCAAAATCATAATAGATTAAAGAAGAATATATATTGTAATAAACAATTGAAATGTAGATTTATTCGAGGATATTTTGTCAACCGTATTTAACCTTCTTTATTTCCCATTGTTACTTTTTGTACGTTCATATCTCAGAAAAGTAGTATATAGGTATACATACACAACGTGCTTGCCATGAATATATATTTTATAATTGAAAGTGATCGTCACATGAGTATGAAGATAAAAGAAACTACGCAGTTAGAATAAAATGCGTCAATAATAATCGACAGTACAATTTATAATTTTTTCAGAAGACATTTCAGTTTCGTCGCGTTAGCATATATACTCTGACGTTTATAAAATTATCAGTTTTCTTTTCTGAAACGGATTAAAAAAATCTGTCTGAAAGAGAAAATTATGATATAGAATTTAAAAAAAATTCTAATTGACGCTTACTTTTATAGGTCGATTTGGAAGCGTAGAAGTGATGAAACCGCTGTTAGAGGAGTATGACCAAGAAGTGGCCCTTGATTCAACAGTTGGAACATCAACTATAGAATCGTCCGTCGAAATAATCGACAATCTTACACCTATTTAAAAGTTTTACTACAATGAAAGTGTATTTTTAACTGGCGGAACTGGATTCATGGGAAAATTATTAATCGAGAAATTGTTAAGAGGATGTCCTGGCATCAGATGCATTTATATTTTGATACGTTCGAAAAAAGGGAAAAATGTTCTTGAACGCTTGGATGAACTTATGGAAGATTCGGTAAATTGTTTATTATTTCTATATTTTCTTTGATTCCTTATCTATGAGATTCTGTATTTATTAAATAATGTATACAGCGTGTCTTATTTATTTTTAAAAAATGGGAATATTTTGTGAGAGGTCAAACTTAAAAAAGAAAGTTTTTGTACGCATTTGTTTAATGTAAAAAGATCCATCATTCAATTTCAATTTCTTTTTAAGCGTGTTAAACGTTGGGAGAATTTCAAAGGCAAATTCATTTTTTTAAATCGAACTATATAACTGCTTTTTGATGGACTGATTTACATTCATGTTAAATAGTTTGGAGTATAACAGTCAGGAACTATTGATGTATGTTTGTATTCCTTATTATTTGAGATCTCACGAATTTATAATGTAATTTATAGTATTTTATAATAATAAATGACTTCATATAGAAAGTCGTCGAATTCGTCTCAAAAAATCATTGAACCATGAAAAAAGAATATATATTTCTATTAAAAAAATGAACTTAGCTGTAGAATTTTCCATATCGTTCGAATTACAATAAATAAATTTGACTTGATAAAGAAATTTGACATCCAATGTTTCCGATCATAACAAACAAATCTCTTCAAAAATTTTTTTGCTCGCTTCAGTCTCTCAAGTTTTAATTATTTGAGATAAATTGAATACCTTGTATATACTTGTTAGATATAAGAAACAAGAAATTAATAAATATATTATTGCTTTAGTGTACTTTGGACATGTACAAAGTCTTCTAATGCTATTTATTTTGTTATGACATTTATTTAAACGAAATAGGCAAAATTTACAATTCTGTGCGTTTTCTAGTTATTTTCCAAGTTGAGGAAGGAAGAACCAAAATTCCGAAAACGAATATTCACAATTAAAGGAGATTGTAGCTTGCCAAATCTCGGTATTTTCAAAATTGATAGAGCTACACTCACAAGCGAAGTATCAATTGTTTTCAATGTCGCCGCGACCGTGAGATTCAATGAAGCAATGAAAGCGGCGATAGCTATTAACGTCCAAAGTCTAAGGGATTTTATAAATTTGTCCAAATGCCGAATCTGAAGGTATCATCTTTATCCTATATATACTTACTAATGATTATCAAGATCTTTTAATGAAAGCTCTGATTATAATAAATGTTTGTTATTTTTAATATGTCAGAGTTTCGTTCACGTATCCACGGTTTATGTCAACTGCCTTTACAATCAGATCGAGGAAAAGATTTATGATCCACCGATAGATGCTGACAAATTGATCGATTTGATTGACTTTATGGAAGAAAAATTAGTTAACGACATTACACCGCAGTACGTTTCATATTTATTTATAACAAAGATATTAAAGAAATAGATGGTGCACGTTGGTTGATAATACACTGGTACAATTTTTTAATTTTGGTTTACTTGGAAGATGGCCAAATAGTTATGTGTATAGAAAATCCCTTGCTGAGAATGTGATAAAAAAGCATGCTGACACGATACCAATTGAAATATTTCGTCCTGTAATTGGTTGGTAGTAATGTAATTTATGTAATAAATTATAGAATAAAACAATAAATGATGTATGTTAATCAATTAAATATTCCTAGTGATATCGAGAACCTATTCAAGGATGGGTAGATAATATGTACGGAACTATAGGAATTACAGCAAATGTTCTAATGGGAATAATGTGAATTCATCATTGCGTTGCATCGATGGAAGAGAACTTGGTACTCGGAGTCCTGACGATTAATGGATTAACTGGTAATGCTTGGGGCATTGCTAATAATTTAAGGTAGCGTCAAATGATATCGTTCATGAATGAATAAAATGATGATTTTAGAACAAATTAAATTAATTCATCCTTATTCGAATATAATAGTTTGGTCTTTATGAAGTGACGGATTTTTAATGAATATTAAAAACATTATATTTTTTTTTTAAATTTTTATTTAATCTAAATAGACTTCATTTGCTTAAATATATTATACTTTTCGTTAAAGGTCACTCAGAATGTATAAGAAAATTCATCAAATGGCGGACGTGTTTGGTTATTTTTGTACGAACGAATGGAGGTATACGAATGAAAGATGGAATGAACTAATGAAGAAGTTGACACCCGCAGATCGTGATTTATTCCTTTGTGATATGAAAGATATCGTTTGGGATATTTATTTTACAACATATGTTTCGAGAATGAGAAAATACATCTTAAAGGATCCCATCGAAACGCTTCCGCAACCTCGTATAAAATGGCGAAGGTATCTTGTTTCTTGCATTTTTAATTCATCATCTGTTTATTATGACAATCATTTACAAATGATATTGATTTTTTGATTTTTTAAGGCTTTACTGGGCCTATCAAGGATTCAAACTTTTTATAGCCTGTATTTTTTTGTGATCATATGGGCTATTTTATTGAGCGTTCCCGGACTATTTCTAACGTTACCATCTTCATGAAGTAAGCAAGATTATCAAAGAAAATGTAGGAGGAATAATAATAATTTACTCTTTCATCATAATGTAAGTCAATTATTTCTTTTATAATAAGGGATCTTTCTTAAACGGTTTGGTGAAACGTAATGATACTTTTGGTACGGATTATGGATATTTTAGTGAATTTTTATCTATAAAATTTGATCTTTTAGCAGGTTTGATCTTTTTTGCGTCATTTTGAAAGTTTGGTACTCTTTTACTCCTCTTGATGGCGCCCATCTGCCGCAGTTCGCAAATTGATGCAAAGAAAAGAAATAGATATAAATTTCAAACGAATTCTCAATCTTTGCGAATGTTGCTATTGAAATGTACGTTGTGCAAAATGCACGAAATAACAAATGTACGAGAAGTGGATTTAAAAAATTCTATTGTTCTCTGAAAAATCAAATATCGATTTTTTCAATAGTTTGCTGACTTTCAAATAACAAATCTTTGACATGATTGTTAATAAGAGACGAATAATGAAAGAAGCAGGAAATAAAGAAGATATATTTATTATCTTATACAAGACTGTAGAAGTTGATTTTCTTTTCGGTTCGTTCTATTTATCATTCGTACCATTCCATTCGATCGTACAGAAATGATCGAGAACATTTTGTAATTTTTATTATAAATTTTGAGTAATATGGAAAGAAAAGGAACCGTCGGGTATCAATGATGTCGAATAGAGATTGATTTTCATTTAATTTTTTAAAATACGAGTGGATGAAAATTATAATTGAATGCGATCAGGTGACTCACGACGTGTAACATTTGATATTCGCTCTTGTATTGCTAGATTATTGTTCCTAGAGAGCTATAGATAGATAATTGTTCCTAGAGGGTTTCTTTAATCTTACGAAAATACATATAGAAAAAAACAGGGATAAAAGTCAGTTTTGAATGATTCATTGGTATTTTCGAGAGGGGAAGTAATAGTTTCAAGTACATTCGATGTACAAAAGAAATAGATTCGAACTCTTTGTGAATTTTTGAGAAGCATAAATGTTACTCCCAAATATATTTGAATTCTAGTTTTGATTAGATTCGAAACTTTCATAATTACTTCGTTGAAATAACGGGACTATTGTCACTACAGCTGCGATAATCTTTAACTCCTAATTACTCAAATTGCGGCAACTAGAATCGAGTTACATAAAAATTTAAAAGCCCGACAATTTAATGGTGGAATCAGCAATCCACATTTAACTAAAACTTAAAATTCAAGTACTATTTGTAAAAGCTTCGAATCTTTCTATTATCGGAGTACTTGAAAAGACATTTTCAAATCTACAAATATTCATTCAGGAGTTCGGAATGAACTTACATGTATCCTACTTTCCAGTAGGAATGGAAATCCCTGAAATGAAACTTGATTATTCAATTGGACTTTGATTCTCATGTATATAGTAAACTTGACTATATCCTTAAAAAAATAATGATCCATCTTCTTTAGAATACAAAACCATACGAAGCAATGAGTAATTAAAAGCATTATAATATAATAATATATAACTATAAGCATTCCGAGTGAATAATCTAATTCTCTTACCCTTATTTAGTGTTGGTTCTGCTTTTCCGCGACTGATTTCGTAAATACGTAAGTGTTCGTTCGTATTGTAAGCATTCTAAAATCAGAAATATTAATGTATTTTTAATTAACGAACATATAACAAATTTTTTAATTTTGAAAAATGTAGTTTATATTAGTAAATAATAAAATTAGTAGCATTATCAACACTCGAAAATAAACGTACTCTGGTCTAATCTCGATAAACTCGTCCAACATTTTCTTGTTTATACGTTCCACCAAATCTATCAACCGGTGTCCATTCATCTTTCATAAAATTTCTTGCCTTAAATGATCATTTATTCATAAAACTTCATCTCTCTCGATCGCAACACGCATGAATTTTTTCTCTACTTTTCTGCCCATATATTATTTCTTTAACAAAGTTAAATAAGAGAAATTTATGGTTGCTTATTTTCAAACAACATGACCGTCTGGTTTATAAGAGATGGTATTAAATTGTAGAAGGTAAGCACAGAATCATTGGTCAGTGTATCGTCATTTTGAATCTGTAGTACTAATTATTTGGTAAAAATTATTCGTACTTGCTGTTACGTCTTCCAAAAAAAATGATGACGATTATCTTTAGATACCTAATTGCAACTGGAAATATCTTGTTGTATCTGAAAGATTATGTATTTAATAAAACACGCATTAATTTAGATTTTTCCATAATCTTTATACTTTATTTGAACGAGAAAATATTCTGACTGATTAAATAATATCTTGAAAGTTACCTTCGAATATTGCCAATATTCGCAGGAATTTGTGAACAGCATATTTTTAACTAGATCTGCAGTTACTACGTTCACATTTATTGGGTTGTTCGGAAAGTAATTTCGTTTTTTTCCCGACAGAAGATTCAATTGTATTTTATGTTTCTTTCTATTTTATTTTTCCGAAGGATTATTTTATTTTTCTGATAAATGGACAGCAAAAAAGTCGATCATACTTCGTGATAAATTCTATTTAATCGTGGAAGATGGCGGGGATGGAGAAGCACCGTGACTGTTTGTCTACACGGGTAGTTTTATTAATTGTTAATAAATTTATATCGAGGTACGCTGTATTGCGGAATGTTTTATCATAGGATTCAAGTTATTTAAATATTTTCGATGCCGCGATCGTACGTTGTTTTTGAGTTACAAGAATTTGTTGAACAATCGACAAATATATAATAAAGTAAATATATTTTTTCCTTTAGTATATTTTATTTTTATGTTGTATATAATGTATAGTAAAATAAATATTGAGGGAATATTTTTAAATTTGTTTATAAGACGATCTGTTGAAATTGTACTTTTTTTTTTTATAGAATAAATAATTTGAGACTATGTAGAGTATTAAAATAAAACTGATCGTTGACTAATAACGAGTTATTATTATTAGTCAACGAAAGGGGTTCAACTTCAACATAATTGTTTCAATTTTACAAAAGTTTGATTGAAACATAAAAACGTCGTAATAAATGATCTAGATCATATCTATGTATCAATTTTTTTCTTTTCTTTTCTTTTTCTTTTTCTTTTTTTTCTCAAAGAAAATCAATTGACTGTAAGTGGACAAGAAAAAAAATCTTCATAGAACATTTCGTAATAAAGAGAGATATCCCATCGAAGTTTTAATAATCTGTAAAGCAAATTACAAGGAATATATTGAATTGTCAATTCATATACATGTTAGATTTGTAAAAAGAAGAAATAGAAAAGAAGAAAAAATGAAAGAAAAAAATACTTACGTCGGTGAAAGTTGCCAATGATAGAACGAAGAATTTACCAGAAGTCAGCTGTTGTGGTTTCCTCATACGTAGCATGCAAATATACATCATTTTCAGGTTGATCGGTGAAATATTATACCACTCATAACGATAAAATGCGTTGCTCAGACCCATACTCTAAATTTGTAAAACAATTTCAATGGCGAGTATCGAGTGATCGATCTAATACAGTGTCTTATCGAATTTGATCAAAATATATTTTTCAAATATTATAAGTACCTATAAATCATTAATTTTTTTTAATAAATAAATAAATTCCTAATTCGACTTAAGAATTTGACATACGAGGACGTTGTCGTATTTTATAAACCAGATTGTAAATTTATTGCTTTGAACAGAAAAGAAAAATTTCTATTATTCCAAAACAAAATGGTGAACTATCCATCTTCAAAGGAATACATACGACATTACACGTTGTTTCACTTTCGATCGGGATTTAACGCAAGTATCTCAACAACATAAAATTTGTTACGTTAAAATCGACTGTTATCTACCGTAACTAATGATATTAATCATAACAGGATAGCAAATTTTATACATGTTTTCTACGAAACAACATTTTTCAGGTTGAATATAAATTTTTCTCAATAACCATTTTGCTGGTTGAATTGAAACTTTACACACATATCGAAAGTGAGTTTGTCCTTAGATAAAACTATAATAATATATTAAAACCTATAATGAAACTATAAATTAAAACTATAATAATACGGCCTAGATAAATTAGAATTATCCACCTCCTTGTTTAAGTTGAAAATTAAAAAAGAAATAAGTCAATCCTCAAGTTTCAAAATAATTGATTTCAATCAAAGTGTTCCAACTTGCTTAATTACAGTCCGAGACGTAGCTATAGTCTTATAGATTGAAAAAATCCTTGGTTTCTATTTTTTTTTAAACAACGAGGACCATTGTAATTCGTATACTCAATTAAACCAACATTTCACATGATCTGCACATTGGCGTATAAATCGTATATTTTTCAATAAAATAACTCATCAGAATTTGAATTGTTAGTTTAAATATTACTAAATATGTGTGCCATATCTTCATATAAGTTCAATAGTTCTCAAAAAAATTAATTCCTATAGAACACCTTAAAAACGGATGTATAAAATAAATTGTTGCTTTAAGAGATCTGACAACCCTAAAAGTTTGAAAAAATCGTTTTTTTTTTTTTTTTACATTTTTATTAACTTTGAAGTTTTGCGAAAAATTTAAGCCATATCCAATATGAAATTTCGAAAAATTGATGGAGTTATAGGCGTTTCTAGGTAGAACGGTCGGGCAGCTGCAAGCAGTGAGTCGCTCGGTTAGACCTGCACGTACTCGGCGCGCATACCTGTTCTATTGTGTCCTTTTCTATGTGTATGCAATTCTAAATTTTGTCACAGTTTTTTTTCCAATCAGTACGTTGTGAAATGTAAGGCATGCAACGATGACATGAAGTTCATGGAATCGAGTATTCGTGGACTCGGTTTTACATTGACGACTTTATGTGACTCCTACGAACCAATCAATGTTATTTCTAATCCTCTCATAAAGAATAAAACGTATGACATAGAAAAATGAATTATTTTAGCATTCCGATTATTAGGATTTGATTTACGAGGAACAGAAACAATTTATGGAATTATAGATTTTCCGAAAGCGAAGTATCAGTCGTTTTATGATATAGTCGTCGGACCCATTCATACTGTTACAGGGAGTGTATGCAACATTTCAATATAAAATGCTGTGAAGGAGAAACAAGAATTGACAGCAGAAATGTGAAAAGGTTCAGATTTGACTACTCCTGGAGATAGAAATTATTTAGGCAAATGAGACTTTTCTTCGCTTTACGGCTTATCGACGATTATTGGATATTACTCGGGCAAAGTGATAGATTTAACAATTAAATCTTCTGCAATGTTTGTGTATAATGGTTATAAAAGCATTCTGTCGTTGATAAATTTGATGCATCAGCAAATCAGGCATTATTGCTATGAATTGTACATAAAAGTTGACAAGCTACGTTGCGACACCGAACACAAGAAAATACGAAAGACGCTCGCTAAGCTCTCAGATCATCTCAGAAAAGATTTCAAGATTCTCATTCTGCTGCTGAAGAAATGTTTATGGGCCAGTAATCGTTGATTAGAAATGAGCAAAAAAAACACTTTATCAGTCAAATAACC